AGAGAGAGAGAGAGAGAGAGAGAGAGGATTGGATACGTTTTTCCCTAATTTTAAGGCTTATCCAAATAATCTTATTCATGTTGAATAATAGAATTCTCATCTGTTTTCAATTAAAAATATATGATTTGGTGGATTTGTTAAATATTTGTATTACCTCGTAAGAGTGCAAATAAGTTGTTATGTGGTGGTGCGAGGCGCAATTTCCTAAAAAAAAGTGCAATAAAAATTATAAAACTAATTGCGCCGAGCAAGGTAACTTCATCCACAAAAAGGGAGAGAAAGAAAGAGGAAGAAATTTTTCTCCCAAGAAAATAAAAGAGAAAAAAAAACACTTATCAATATTCTATTTTTTCTTGCCTTTTGTACAATTTTATTGATATATTTCTGTTGTCCGAAATTAGTGGGCAACAAAATCAATGGATGAGATTTGGTCTCACGTACACATTTTAAGGGGTAGAGTCATTTGATCAACCTACGTATTTGTGTGTGTGTGCGTGTAGGCACCTAGACCCCGACAAAACCGCCTAGACGTCCACCAAGGCCGCCTAGCTCAGCTAGTTGCCGCCTAATCGTTGGGCACTTAGGGCAACCGCATAGGCAAAAGTCGTGGCGCTTAGGTGCCACCTAGTGCCTAGCCCGCTGAGACAGGCGCCTAGGCCAACTTTTAGTACAGAGTTTAAATAGTGATACTATAAACATTTTTCGTTTATCAACTTATATCACAATTTTCACAGTGAAAAAAATAACATTTAGTATTACTTAACTCTTACTAATTTATTTTTTATCATCATTTTATCTATTTCTATATAAAGAGATTAACATTTAACAAAAATAGGTAGCAAAGAATTTCGGACAAACATATAATTGTACTACTTTTCGAAACTTTTCTAAATATTTTCAGACAATTTTAAATAAATGGCCTAAATGTTGAATTTTCGTTCCATACCGCTGCAAATAAACAGTAATCTCCAAATAGTGCGCACATAAATGATGACTTTTCGTTCCAACAGCATTAACTGAACCCAAAATTGGTGGGTTTGTTGAAGTTGAACTAGTGTGGTACCCGTGCAATGCATGAACTAATTTTATTAAAGTAAGCATTTTCATTTGGATGATTGGATAACTAAAAAAAAACGTACCGTAAATCGTATCCAATAAAATAAACACTTGTCACTTATATACATTAGGATTCTAAATAGGCTAGAAGAGGAGTCCCGCATTCATTTATTTACATTCAAATTTCTTACAATAGTATGATAAAAAAAGGAAACCCCACATTCATTTATTTGCATTCAATTTCTTACAATAGTATGATCACCCAAGCGCTAGTCAAGACAAAACAAACTAATTACATCCTAAAGTCCAAGTACGTCAAATCATTGTTTGTGGAGATTTTATGGTCCCTTTACGGAACGATTAAATCGGGATTTGTAACCGTTAGATCAACTATCCACGACGGTTACATATGATATATCGGTGACAAATCCCGACGGAATGATTACGTAACGGGATTGTAGCATTTTTCCATTGTAAGATGACATTGTTATATATTATACGCAGCATCTGCATATATAATCAACTGAAAGTACACAAATTCAATTGCCAAGCATAAAGAAGGGACAACGCATAATAATAATTGACGAATTATTACAAATATAGATTCTGCATGGCATAAATTATCGTGATTTAATTCAACTAAATCAACTAACTGCTAACATATGCTCAATTATTTTAATACATAGTAAAAGAGCATGACCATCGGACCTCCAAGTTGCCACCGTACCAGATTTTTGCTCCTCAAATTAGAAAATATTGTCTTAATTATAAGGATTAAATTATTTTTTATTATTTATTATTTGCTAATTGGGCAGTGTGATAAAGGTTAAATTTGACTAATTAATTCCCATATCAAAAATCCAAAAATAAATAAATAAATAAATATTATGGACTAATAATGCAAATTATTTGTTCCCAACAAACGTACACTACAAGAAAAACTGCATTTGACGACGTTTATTGGCGAGTTGTGTTGCTAAATTTGATGTCATAAAAAAATAAGCGTCAGTAAACAAAAAAATAAGATACGTACGTACGTACCTTAGTCTAACCAAAGTTCAAAAGACAGAAGCACAGATAAACGAGATTTGACAGGAAAAGGGATAACCCCGCAAACGAAACGGTGTTCGAGTCGTTACGATGATGAGAAAAGAAGCCGCCACGGCCAGAGCCGCCACCACGGCCACCGCCACCGCCACCGCCGCCCTTAGCACCTGCCGACGTGAGGAGAAGACAAACGACGGCGGACAGACAAATTAACTTTACCAAGACTTGCTGGAGGTTCTTCATTATCTTTTTTTTTTTTTTTT